TGAGGTGGGAGGATTACTTGAGACTAAGAAGTTGAGGCTACAGTGAATGATTGATCATGCCACTGAACTCCAGCCTGGGCGACAGAGACACTATTGCCCTAAGAAAACACCCATGTTGCTGTAACCAATGAAGTCTCCCTGAAAGCCAGAGCCACTCAGAGCTCAGAGTCACATCAAACCTTGCCCTTATCTTCTGCTTCCTTGTCACAGAGCAACACTGCCTTCATAGCACATCTCCAGTCTATAACAAAGAATTCTTAGCATCAAGCACACTCAAGTCACTTGCATAGCAAATCAGGTCATCTGAAAATACTTTTAAAGATTATTTTTTAAAACAACAGTTTTTCATTTATGGGAACCAAATGGCAGTTGACATTCCATGTAAAAGTTTAACCTCTTCAGGAGCCGGTGGGATTGGACCAAAAGCCCGACCAATGGACCGACGGTTCAAGGGGAGGGACACAGACCTGGAACCTGAGCTAGGTCAAAGACGCCCAGGCCAGGTGTCCCGTTGCAGGTGCCCCCGGCCAGAGATGCGGTAGGAGGGGTGCGTGCGAGAAGCCCCTTCCTCGGCGCTGCCAACCTGCCACCCAGCCCATGGCGAACCCCAGCCTGGGGCTACTTTTGGCGCTGGGCCTGCCGCTCCTACTGGCCCGCTAGGGCCGACCGTGGGCCAAATATCAACCCCTTCTGCAAATGAGACTAGCACTGTTTTGCCTACACCCACCGCCTCAGTTCCAGCTCTGATGGCGCCCTGTCTCAGGTGGCCATCACTGCTATCATCGTGGTCTTCTCCACCCTGGCCACCTTGCTCCAGGCAGTGGGGCTGGCACTGCTGGTGCAGAAGCTTTGGGATACCGGCCTAGCAGCGAGAAGCAGGTGGGTGCCCGTGTGCCACCGACCCCCAACCTCAAGTTGCTGCCTGAGGAGCGGCTCATCTGAATTCTGGGGCCTGCTGCAGCCACCAACACTGCCCAGGAATGCCAGGTGCTGGCTTGTACACCGCAGCTGCCACCGAGACACCAGCCTCTAATGCCTCAGCAGGACTTTGGGGGAGAGGCTGGGGGCACCCACCTGGCGGGCTCTCTGTAGCATGCTGCCTCTGCTTGCCTGCAGCTCAGGGTGCTGGGGCTCGGGACCCACCTCCCTGCTTGTGGAACCAACTTTTCTCTGTGTGTCCTGTAGGCCCCACAACCCTCTTTCCTTTCTTTCAGTTCTCTCATGCGGCTAAGGCCCGGGCCCCTCAGGACTCCAAGGAGACAGTGCGGGGCTGCCTGCCCATCTAGGTCCCCTCTCCTGCATCTGTCTGCCTTCATTGCTGTGTGACCTTGGGGGAAAGGCAGTGCCCTCTCTGAGCAGTCAGATGCACCCGGTACTTAAGAATAGCAGGGAAAAAAGTGCTTCAAAGACTCCACCCCAGAGGTCAAGGGAGGATGGGGCTATTCACTAATATCCATGATCAACATAGATGCAAAATCTTCAATAAAATACTGGCAAACTGATTGCAACAGCATATCAAAAACCTTATCCATTATGATCAAGTAGGCTTCATCCAGGGGATGGAAGGCTGGTTCAACATACGCAAGTCTATAAATGTAATTCACCACATAAACAGAACCAAAGACAAAAAACACATGATTATCTCAATAGATGTAGAGAAGGCCTTCGACAAAATTCAACAGCGCTTTATGCTAAAAACTCTCAATAAACTAGGTATTGATGGAACGTATCTCAAAATAATGAAAGCTATTTACGACAAACCCACAGCCAATAAATATCATACTGAATGGGCAAAAACTGGAAGCATTACCTTTGAAATCTGGCACTAGACAGGGTTGCCCTCTTTCACCACTCCTATTCAATACAGTATTGGAAGTTCTAGTCAGAGCAATCAGGCAAGAAAAAGAAATAAAGGGTATTCAATTAGGAAAGGAGGAAGTCAAATTGTCTCTATTTGCAGATGACATGACTGTATATTTAGAAGACCCCATTGTCTTAGCCCTAAATCTCCTGAAATTGATAAGCAACTTCAGCAAAGTCTCAGTGTACAAAATCAATGTGCAAAAATCACAAGCATTCCTATACACCAATAACAGACTTAAAGAGAGCCAAATCAAGAACGAACTGCCATTCACAATTGCTACAAAGAGAATAAAATACTTAGGAATACAACTAACAAAGGATGTAAAGGACCTCTTCAAGGAGAACTACAAACACTACTCAACGAAATAAGAGAGGACACAAACAGACAGAGAAACATTCCATGCTCATGGTTAGGAAGAATCAATATCATGAAAATGGCCATACTGCCCAAAGTAATTTATAGATTCAACACTATCACCATCAAGCTACCAATGACCTTCTTCACAGAACTGGAAAAAACCACCTTAAACTTCATATGGAACCAAAAGAGAGCCCGTATAGCCAAGTCAATTCTAAGCAAAAAGAGCAAAGCTAGAGACATCACACTACCAGACTTCAAACTATACTACAAGGCTACAGTAATCAAAACAGCATGGTACTGGTACCAAAACAGAGGCCTTGGAGGCAATGCCACACATCTACAACCATCTGATCTTTGACCAACCTGACAAAAACAAGCAATGGGGAAAGGATTCCCTGTTTAATAAATAGTGTTGGGAAAACTGGCTAGCAGTGTGCAGAAAGCAGAAACTGGACCCCTTCCTGACACCTTACACTAAAATTAACTCCAGATGGATTAAAGACAAACAAAACTTAACACCATGAAAACCCTAGAAGAAAACCTAGGCAAAACCATTCAGGACATAGACATAGGCAAGGACTTCATGACTAAAACACCAAAAGCATTGGCAACAAAAGCCAAGATAGACAAATGGGATCTAATTAAACTCCAGAGCTTCTGCACAGCAAAAGAAACAATCATTAGAGCGAACTGGCAACCAACAGAATGGGAAAAAATTTTTGCATCTACCCATCCAGCAAAGGGCTAATATCCAGAATCTACAAAGAACTAAAACAGATTTACAAGAAAAAAACAAACCCATTCAAAAGTGGGCGAAGGATATGAATACTTTTCAAAAGAAGACATATATGAGGCCAACAAACATATGAAAAATGCTCATCATCACTGGTTATTAGAGAAATGCAAATCAAAACTACATTGAGATACCACCTCACACCAGTTAGAATGATGATCATTAAAAAATCTGGAGACAACAGATGCTGGAGAGGATGTGGAGAAATAGGAACACTTTTATAGTGTTGGTGGGAGTGCAAATTAGTTCAACCATTGTGGAAGGCAGTGTGGCCATTCCTCAAGGACCTAGAAAGTCCATTTGACCCAGCAATCTCATTACTAGGTATATATCCAAAGGATTATAAATTGATCTATTATAAGGACACATGCACACAAATGTTCATTGCAGTACTGTTTAGCAAAGACTTGGAACCGACCCAAATGCCCATCAATGATAGACTGGACAGGGAAAATGTGGCACATATACCCCATGGAATACTAAGCATCCATAAAAATTGATGAGTTCGTGCCCTTTGTAGGGACATGGATGAACCTGGAAACCATCATTCGCAGCAAACTGACACAAGAACAGAAAATCAAACACCACACGTTCTCACTCATAGGCGGGTGTTGAACAATGAGAACACATGGACACAGGGAGGGGAGCATCATACACAGAGGTCTGTGGCGGGGGAATTGGGGGGGGGCAGTGGGGGGTGGGGAGTTGGGGAGGAATAACATGGGAAGAAATGCCAGATATAGGTGATGGGGAGGAAGGCAACAAACCACATTGCCATGTATATACCTATGCAACAATCCTGCATGTTCTTCACATGTGCCCCAAAACCTAAAATGCAATAAAATATATATTTAAAAAAAAAAGACATTATAGATGATAATTAACCAAAAAAAAGAGATTATAGATGATAATAGGATTCTGTTTCCTTTAGAATTTCAGGTGGGATCTGTTACAATTCACTAAAGTTAAGTTTAGATTTAACAACATTCTATCTACTATGTTATTGAAACCCATATAATATTTACCAAATTCCCATACATGGTAGACAGTAACATTAATTAAGAAGATAATTTCCAATTTGTTCCATAAAGTTTCAGTGACCCACTCCGTAATAAAGAACCTGGAGACATTACCAAGTAAGCATCATATTTAATGAATTTACCGTGAAATCATGTGAGAAAAATTTTCCTGTATAGGGATGATGACTCTGGAAATGTTGCATAGAGAGCTAGAAAAACAAATGTCATTGTAACTTAGGCATTTAAATTGTACTTAAATGTATAGACTTTTGAATTTATAGAAAATTTTCAAGTATGAAATTGATTTTATTCAACCTAAAGTCTCAAACTTCAAGTAATTTTTTGAGTGTTACACTTATAAATTGTATATTAATGCAATTCAAATTTATTCCTAAAACTATTTCAACTAAAGGAGAAACTCATGGGGCCCGAGATTAGAGTTTTGGAAAATGTACATATGGGATAAACTTCCACAGGCTGAAATTAAGTGAAACCTGACTTCTCAGTGTTGAGATGGGTTAGCCATTTTCACATAATGTAGAAGCTTCTAAGAAATGCAGAATCTCAACTTCCCCTTCCTTATTCCACCTACCCCACTCAATCAGATCCTGCGTTTCAATAAGATTTATTTAGTGCAGCAACTTCTTTACTTATCAAAGTTTAGAAGCACTAGGCTAAATGATAAAGAGAAAAGAAGTTGCTTAGGATAAGGAAATAAAAGATTAAAGTCAACTTAAGTATTTATGATACTTTCTTAGCATGTCATGGGGTTACCTGTCATCTTTCCTCTTTGGTTCCATTTGTTTTATGGGGATATTTATGTGGAAAAATGCCTTTGCTTTTGTAATGGTATTAAGTAAAATCTGCACTCTGTTTATGTCAACTAATTTTTCCACTATTGTTTTTATGTTAGAAAGTACAATCTACTTATAAACATGATGGTTCAATGAGAACTTTTAGAGTATTGATGACCTAAATGTGGACATCTACATAATCATTAATTGTTACCACAATACTACAAGGCAATATAAGCACAATTTGCCTCTCTGATCCCTAAACATAGCCTAATATCACTCACTCAATCAGCATCATACTGGAAATGATATGACCAATTATGGCAGGTAGTAGATGTCCAGTCACACTGGTATTACTTTTAGCCAGATGTCTCTTGTCCTTGTGAGTTCTTTTGGTCCTAAATAGTGAAATAGCAACAGAGCGAACCAACTCACCTACTCAAGGCAGATTTCTCATTTCTAGACTTGTCCTGAAACCAACAGATCCAGATCTCTCCTACCAAATACCATGAAATTTAAAGAAACAAAACTTACAAAATAAAGCAGCAGCAACAACAACAATGAAATCTTAAAAGAGTAAATATAAGTATCAAGCATCAACCCCCCTCTCCAAATAACATCTCTCTTCTTCAATAAGGTTCCCAGAAGGTAATTCAATTTCTTAGCTGGTGTCCAATATTTGGGATCATTTAATTCAAGACTGAAGGACTTAAAATGGTTTTTTAAAAAAGGAAAAAAAGTTAGATTTCCAGAGAAAAGTAAAATGTTTTAAGTTGAACATTATGAGGGATTTGATGGGGGCAGCTTTGCCAAGTAGAACTGGAGACTGGTCCACTGTTTAGGCTTTTTACAAAAGACTGCAAAGATTGTTTCCGTACAACAGGAAGTCACCAAGTTGACAAGTCCCAATGCAAATGACTCGCACTAGGAACCCTAATAGTGCTGCTGTTAAATCATTTGCAAATGGGTGGGGCTGAGATGACAAAGAACTCTGTTTTCCCAGGTAGCATCTCAAGTATGGTTGATTGCACCTTCAGCCCCACATTGAAAAGTATAGTGTAAACACAGCTAAGGGACTGCCTCCTTCAAATTACGCACAAGGCACACCTACTAACAGGAGATGTTGTGAAAGCCAGGTGGGGCTTTGTCTTTCAAGTCCCTCCATTCAAAAATAAGCATATTCTGTACCAAAAAAGAGAAAGAAAGAAAAAGAAAGAGAGAGAGAGAGAGAGAGAGAGAGAGAAAGAAAGAAAGAAAGAAAGAAAGAAAGAAAGAAAGAAAGAAAGAGCGAGCAAAGGTGATACAACTGCATTCATTGTCCCTAAGGGGAGAAGAGGCAATAACTGTCAGACCCAAGGATAAAGGGAATCCCCCTTTAAGAAAAGATGTTGGCATTATGTGAGGATTGGGAACATGCCAGAACAATCACACTTTTTTTACAAAAGAGAGAAAGAGAAAGAAAGTTAAGGCCCATTTGTCTTATTTCAATCACTTTCTTCAGAATTAACAACTTTAATCAACAGGTTGCTTTCAGAGTATTGCTGGACATCTTGACTCTCTGCCATGAAATGCTATAGGAATTCTGACAGTTGAGAGCCAACGCCCCACTAGACACCAGTGCTGCATAACCACACTTTTAATAGACCCCAGAGCTGTGGTGACAGCATGCCCTTCCCAGTTTTTCCACAGACGGTGCTTCTGAAATTTTCCATAGTCAGTGTATTCTTGTGGTTAATTAGTTACCTGAGCAATTTCCATTATAGAAAGAGTATCTGTACATAATTAAACCCATCTTAGGATCAAACGGCAGGCTTCAATGTCATTAATTCAGAGGGCCAAAATGAAAATGAGATGAATAATTATCACCTGATGAAGGGACCTCACTAGGTTAGATCCTACCTTCTGAAATACATAGAACATTAAATTTAAAAAAGCAAGAGAGGTGAAAACAGGTGAGGGAAGAAACTGGAAAGGTAAGTTGCCTCTAGAGACCAAAGAATAACACTCCTTTTCAAATTATTATCAAGAAATCTTGGGGGAAAGATAAAATTAGTGAGAGAAGGCTATTAGCTCTGTTACTCACCTTTATGAAACCATTTTCAGGGATCTGTTTGTTAAATTCCACTGAAACGCGGAGGCACACAGCACAGCCCTTCTTCTGGGATGCACAGTCATGCCATACAGAAGTGTGTGGGTAGACGCCAAAACATGTGTGGACCTGCAACCCTTTCTATAGAAACTCAGCATTCTGAGCAGTAACAAGGATTAACCTTGTGTGCTCATGGAGAAAACTGGTGGCTCCACACATCCAGTTGTCCTTCTGGTTATTTTTGTATCCAACTCTATAATTTCTTTTAATTACTTACTGTAAAGCACAGGAAAGTGCTCATTACTTGTAGCTTAATGCAAGTGGAGAAATAATTGAATATGTTCTCCTAGCCACTGCCCTACCCCAGCTCCCAGCTCTTCTGAAGTGTCACTGTTCATCTCAACAGCATGCATAAGGCAGTTTCCAGGCCCTGTGCATAATGAGCCATGTGGACCCTATTCAAGAAGCTGGCTGTCCTCCAGAACTACTATAAAATATAAGGAAAATATTAACATCTTAGATGACAAAAGATCCATATGGCTGGCCAGAAAATATCCACATCATTTTAGCCATTAGAATGCACCTATATGGAAACATTCAATTTGGCAGTACTGTGAATAACAGAACTGTGAGAACATCTGTTTGTCTCCACCCATTTTCACTAAACACTGATTCCTATAGAAGACATGCAAACTCAAATGCCAACATATTTCATCTAAGCATAGGACAGGGACTCCATTTATACACAGTTGCTATAATAAATACCATATATTATTTGTTGGTGATAGGATTTTGGAAGATGCTCTAGGCAGCTGGAAAAACAAAATGTTTCTCTTTGTATTAAACTTGATTTAAAAAATAGCTAACATTTATTAATGGTGAGGTAGATCATTTGATTATCCACCGTTTATAGCTGAGGAAACAGAGTTTCAGAGCATTGTGGTGGATTCCCTAAGATCACAAACCCATTATGTGGTGGACAGGGAATACGAACCAGTGCTGGCTTGCTATGTCTCTTTCCATATGGGGTCAGACATGGATGTAGTATCTTATAATGTGAGGGTGGTCTGCTTGGCAGAGATATCCTGCAGACCCTGTGTGCCAGCTTCTTATTTATTTAAACAAAGCCCCATATGATCATTTCTGGTAAGCAGTTTGTTTACACACTAATTCCACAGAGGTTTAATATAACCCCAATGTTTCTTTGTTGCTACTCTGTTCCCCATATTGAATTATTACCACAAGGTACCGACCGTACACCCATACTTAATAGGGCATTGTGTCAAAACTATGCATGAAGGCCATTTGTTTGAGATGTCAGAACTTTTTCCCCTGAGAAGATCTCTTTGAGTATTGAAACAGAGCCACATGCTTTTCAGACCAGCAACCACAACTACCAAATACTCCTCTGTCAACTCTACTTGAGTAAGAATGCTTTCAATTAAGGCCTAAGTGTCAACAGGCCATTAACAAAAATCATGGTGACATAAAATCTTTCTTTTTGGCACCCAAACAGAATCCCTTCAAAACCTGGTGGTCTGATACCCTGTGCTACGTAACTTGTGACCCATCCGTTTGTCATGTTCTTCGGGAATGTGGCTGAGGGGCTGAGATGTGACTTGAAAACAAAGGTAGAGCGAGATAATCTCAAATTGATTATCAAGGAGTAGTTCAGACAACTAGTTCAGACCACAGAGATAGTAGAACAGGTGGTCTGGCATGGATAGAGCATCAGACATTCACAGACTGTGCCAACAAGAGCCATCTACTCAAAACAGCCAAAAGAAGAAGGATCATGGAATGGGTTCTCACATGAAACTGATGCCCAGAAGCCCTCGGCATGAATAACAAAGGCAACCAGACCCACAAGCCATACTGAGTTGATACAAAACTGATACCTGGGCTGACATCCCAAAAGTGGCAAGTTAGATGATGATGGCACAAAAGACAGAACACCTTGCTTCTGGTCATTGTCAGCTCTGGGAAGAGAGGAGACTTTTAGAGGAGCAGCTGCAAGGAGCCTGAGAACAAAACTGGAAATGCCTGTTGTGAAAGCCTTCACAGCTATTATTAACAAAAGAAAATGTGTATTTGTCAATGGTGTGCTAGCTAGGTTTTGTCAGTCCATTCTTATGCCCAGGAATGACCTCTTGTGTCGACCGGATACAGTCATCAATGCAACTGTCCAGGTGCAACTGTTCTATAAAGGGGAAGAGGAGTGGCTTTCCCCTGTAAAGTGGCCCTGTCAAAATTCTATAAAAAAAAGTCCATTTAAATTGAATAACCACTGTGCCCAGCTCCATTTACCACACTTTTCTATGCAGTGGAAATGAAGGGGATTTTTTTTTTCTGTCCTTAGAGAAAAATAAGACTGAGAATCAACCTTTTGAATGAGAATGGTAAGGAGTTATGTGAGGATGACCTGGAATATGTGCTTCTCAAAATGTGAAGATGTTATCTAGGCCATAAATCATGGTGTTTTTATATGATCCCCTATTTGCCTAATGCAGGAAACTACTTGGCAACTATAAGGAAGAAGTCTAGCAATATTGCATCATAGTTCAATGTTTATATTGTACTTTAGCAGTTTAAATTTATCTTATCAAGTACTAATTACTTATTTAAAAATGTTGGGGGCATTGCAAAATCTTTCCTCAGAAAAGCATCCATTGAGTATGAAAGTTCCAAGCTTAGCAAGACATCCCTGTGATTTGGGATACGTCTCTTGAACTCATTATCAAGGATGCACAAGAAACTGCAAAGGGCTTGAATTGTTTGTACTCCCACCATGTGTGTCACTAGAGCTGGTGCAAGCCCATGGTCATGGTGAGGCACTGATTCCACTGGAACTAATCTGATACCTGCACCGCTCTTGAACTGCGGAGTGTTCCCACTGCAAACTACAGATTAGGTAAAAGACTGTTCACCTCCTATGTCTTATCTCATCTCACACACTCTGTTTCATGAGGATATGGAGAAATAGGTATTCTCATACACTAATGGTGGGAGTACAAACAATTCAATATCTATCAAAATTATCAATGATTTTTCCTGCTGACCCATCAATTCCACTTAGGGGAATAAATGACAGATATAGGTGCATATGTACAAAATGATGTATGTAAAAGGCTATTAATTACAACAAAGTATAAAATGCAAAACATACTAGAAATAGCTCCAATTTCCAACTATAGAAAAGTAGATAAACTATAGCACATACTTAGAATCCTTGCAACTGTAAAGTTATTTCCCCATATACTAAAGTGGAAAGCTCTCACGAATATATTAGTAAGTGATAAAAACAAGGTATAGAATAGTGTATATATGGCTACTATCTTTTGTTTTAAAGATGGGGAAAAATAATAGTACATATTCATATTTACCTGTATCTATATAAAACACATTATCAAGGATGCACAAGAAACTAATACAAATGATCACCTTATAGATGGTATGTATTGGGGGATACTGGGGTGAGCAAGGTACAAGTGTGGCAAGACTTCTCAATCTAAACTTCTTTTAAATTTTATTTTGACTTTTGAATAATGTAAAGTAACTATCAAATAATTAAGAATAATTGATTTAAAAAAACATTTAATCTAGTGGCTTTACTTTTAGCACGAAACAATCTCCACCAAATCACCAAATCTCCACCAATCACTAAAATCAGAGATTTACACCAGTTCTTTTGCTTGTTTTCCTGGTAGTGACTACAATTAGGAAGTCTGGTGGGTGCCATCTCAGTTCTGGAGATATCTCCCTAGAAGAAACTGATTCAAAGTGGGATAATTCGGTATGAAGAACAGTCCCTGGGACTTGGGGGCTGAAGACCTGAGTTCTGGTCCTGCCTAACTCCCACTTTATATTAAGCTGACCCTATGAAACAACTGATATGTAACTATTTTTTACCAACAAATTAGACAAATTCATGGGTTAACAAATTCAAAAACCATGTTGCCTCACCACTGTGACACGAGGACGACACGTATACCCACCTTGCCTAACTCACAGTATCACACCAGGGATTGTCAACATATGGAAAGGAGCTTTATAAACTGTAAAGGTCAATCCTACAAGGCAGCCGTGAGATACAACACAACACTGAGGGGGTGACCATGGCCAAACATAAGAGGGGAATAGGACCAAGTCCCAAAAGTATCTGAGATACTGAGACAGTGCCAAGGAATGAAATCTTCGAAAAGATGGAATCTAAACAAAAACAGAAAACAAGAGCAGGCTGCGTTGCAGTGGAAGATGCAGTTAAATGACTCTACATGTGGTCATCTGCCACTGAATACACTGCAAATTCTGTAAAACCTACTAAGGGAAACTAGGGAGATATATCTGGGAGCAAACTGTAAAGATACTGATATGAACACGAATGTGAGATCAGTGTTGAATGATGGACACAGAAGGATGGCTCTCAGTCCTTGTGAATGTACAGTTGTTGGAAACTTGTGTCTGTCATATACAGGCAGGCCTCCAACTCACCTCCAAAATCAGATACAAACTTCAAATACTTTGAAAAGGCTCCCTAGAGGACCTTTTACCCCAAATGCAGAGACTAAATGAAAAACCACTCTTTAAAGAGGAAAAAAACACACTCAAAAAACTTCTCATTTCCACATGTATAGTCATCTGGAAAACAGATCCCCCATTAAACGGATGGTCAAAGCTGCACCACAACATTAAACTAAGTACATAAATCCAAGAGTTCCCTTCCTCACCCTCCTGAAATGAAACATTCCAATAGGATAGAAATAACCTCATGAGGAAGTTCAGTGAAGGTACTCCTGTTTGGCACTGCTATCCAGATGCTGGGTTAGGAAACTAGTTATTTGGAACTCAGAAAAAGAGAGAACTATTTTGATTATGTAAGGCCCTTGTTTCATCTGGGTCTCAGTAGTCTGACGGGTGTCATGCACTCCTGGACTACCTCTTAATGAAAAGAGGGACCTTGACTTCAGGCCCCATGCTCAGCAGCCCTGAAGCCTCTTTGGGTCAGATATAATGTCCTCTCACTTCCAGCTTCATAGCAGACCATGTTTCCGTACAGAAATTTATCTAGCAGGCTTACTATCCTACGTTACTTAAAGTTTGGGCCTACTCTTACACAAGAGGCTTAAACTGCCTCTGAGTAAGAATAAAAGATATGTTATATTTTTGTGAATTATTCATTTATTCATTCAGCAAAGGTTCTTAAGAAGGTACTGAGTTTGGATGTACTTTGCTTTAGGAAAATCATTTTCAAGGTTGCTTCATGCAAAGTGGGAATAACTAACTTGGTAACTCAATAGATTAATTAAGTGATTACCCCCAGTTTAAACTGTCATTGAGTTTCAAGTATGACAAGAAAACCAGAGACCCATGGAGGTGGGCACATTCCCACCTGTCAATAGCCCTCAAGGGAAAAGCTTCAATATTACCCCCAAATGGCCAACTTTGCATGGTTAATCATTTAGTTAGAGGCTCACAAGATCAAAATCAATTCTTAAGAAAATATTTATGTGAACACAGGGACAATGAGCTGACACCTCCAAGGTGCATGTCAGGGGTAGAAATACAAGTTCCTGTTTCACCAGCAGAGCTCCAGTCACTCAGTTGAAGCTGAAAGTCAGAAGCAGCTGTGTTTCTGTCATTCCCTCACTTGAATAGAACCCAGCTATAGACCTTGTTTACTCCATGAGAAAAATTCTTAACAACCCACAAATAATTTTTAGGTTTCATTTTTGCCTCTGCTTCCTCCAAGGCTACAAACGTCACCCAAATTTCTGTGGCAAGGTTATTTAGGAGAGCCTTTCTTTTGGATGTCAACTTGTCAAACTTGCAGTTTAAATGAATGTGATCTAGTCTTCTCCTATAATTTACTTTTGCACTATTTGTTCATATAATAGGCATTCTCTGAGAATAGGCACTGAGGACACCAAAATGAATGATACTGAATTTTTGCCCTTGGGAACTGCGGTGTTAAAGGTGGGTTAGACCCATAAACCAACAACACAGTGCAATGTGGTACATGCTGTAACTGGCATGCACAAAGAACATTCACAAAAAAGAGAATGAAAAGGGGGAGGAAGGTGGCAGATGAGAAAAGGCTTTGGCCCAAGTTTTTCTTCAATGAAGATCATATTTTGTAGATCAAAAGATTATATAATCTGCCAAACCCTTAGCATGTATAGCTCATGAAGCAAGACAAAGTACTCATGAAGAGTTCCACACTGGTGAGCCTCTTGGGCAAATAAGTTAGAAGTCATAACCCATTTTTGGATGCCTACCTAGAGTTGATTTCCTAGTCAGAGTGCTTTCCTAGCTGATAAGAACAATACTGGGATTCTGAATTGGGAACAGAATACAAACAAGTTGCCAAATAAGAATCAAAATACAGGATCAGCCTTAATTTCAGTGCAAGTGGTCCATTGCTTTGGTCCACAGGCTACACAGTCCAGATGACAGATCTAAGGGTTTAATCAATCAGATTAACCTCTCCTCTTTTCACAGAAAGAACAAGTAATAGGGATAAGAAAAGAGCCTAGAATAGTCCCCTGAAGGTGTTACATATTAGGAAGCAAGTTCCCATGTGGAAACACAACGATGGGCGAAAGGGATTTCCCTCAACATTGTTCTATTTATGCACAGAGAATTCAAGTACCTTGCCCAGTATCACACAGCTAGTAAGTGGCGAGCCTTAAATCAAACTTGATCATCAGGTCCAGGAATGCAGTTAACAGGCTGGGGCTGCCTGATGAAGTTTCTATTCAGGAAATATGTCTTTAAAGTCAACAGACTATCCTGAGTAGGGCATTCTAGAACATTTTTCTAGACAAAACATCATATCCACAGCTTCCAGCCTAGAAGCTGATACAACGAAGACACACAATAATGATTTGTGTATAATTGCATACACAATTAATTACCAAAATGTGAGGTACAGACCATCTAGGAACTCAGATAGGGCAGGTTTATTATTATGGGCAAGAATCTTTCTAGAGGCAGTAGAACTGCAGTTGGGTCTTAAAGAATGAGTAGAATTAAGATGACTAAAGAGCAGGAGAAACGTAATGAATAAACAAATGAGACTCAGAGAATTACAACAGAAGAGTTTTAGTCTTGTAAACTTTGCTATAAAATGAAGCAAATTTAGGTATGAAGCATGCTGATTAAACTTTTTATTGTCTTGATATAAGTCATAAAAAAGTATCTTTTTTGGGAGCTGGAAAGTGCTATAATACTGAAAACAGTGGCTGAAATTCATTAAGCATTTACTATGCCAAGCACCGCTCTA